ATGCCCAACGGCAAGGTTGCACAGATTTATGGCCGTGGAAACAGACCACGCTAGTATAACGGCTTTTTGCCGCTAGCCGCGTCAAGCAGCACAGAGCAGATTGAACCAGGCAGGAAGTCAGACACAGAACTCCATGGAGAATCCAGCAAACTGTGACCAGTGATAAAAAAAAGCTTGAGAGGAGGGCAAACCAGCCTACTTCATTGGAGGTTGTAGATTTATCAGCGGGTAAGAAGTCCCCTTCCCCACCTAAGAAACAGACTTGCCTACTGCCTAATAGCACAAATGCACCTATTGGATTGACTTGCACTACATTCAGAGTTGATATCCTAATGTTATAGTTTCTGTTGTACTGTAACTAAGACTCTGCAAAGCTATTATAGTTCACAAAATTGCTGCCATTTGTATTACGTTTTGCTTTTTAAGGCCACTTAATAACCGAGGCAGCTCAGAGCACTGTGTTTTATAGTTGGCCGGGACTATTTCCTTTCCCCTTTCCCTTTATTTTTCTTATGAAGCAGCACTCGGTCCCCTTATCCAGTGAGTGATACACTCCTACCTAACTGGTTATTGATCACCTTCTAGTTTATTCCTTGTTTGTGTTCATTAATAACTTTGTCTTTTTCTATTGTTTCTCTAAATGCCAGGGGATTAAGACAGATTTGTAAAAGGAAAGCCTTATTTACTAACCCTAACCCTAACACAAACTTGAGAATAAGTTACTTGATTCAAAAGAGGAAAGAATTATATTCACCAAATACCCAAACTCTCTTCTTTTAAGACTTTAATATTGCTCTAGATAATGCTATTGACAGGTGGCCTCCTGGCCAGCTCTCCTCCCTCAGCACAAACCTTAAAACACTTATGGGAAAATGTAACATTGTGGATGCATGGAGAGAAAAATGAAAGTTCCTTCACTTAGAGCAGCAGATCAGGATCCAACCAGTCACGCATTGATTTTTGGCTGTTAAAAGAGAAAATTACAGTAAATATCCTTGCCACACCCCTCACTGATCATAGATAAATTCATTTGGAGAGTGAACGCTGGCGCGGTTAGCTGCCGCTACTCTCCGGCCCCCCCTTTTACTGTTGTTTAGTTAATTTTAACCGTCCTTGATTTATTTTTTTTTTTACTGATTCACTCTGGCCTGATCTCACGCTGTTTTAACTGACTCTTGAAAGTTGTAGTCTGATCTGGCCACATCGGCATACGATTAGATTATCCGGTGTTGTTGTTTGGACTAGCTTACCTGTAACGTTACCACCGGGGCTCCCGCTCCCCACTTGGCTGCTTTCTCTGCCTGCTTGGCTCAACACTGCCGCCGGTGTAACACCAAAATCTGTGACCTATCAGATTCTGTGACTACACCCAAACGACGATGTTTTCCTAACCATAACCAAGTACTTTTGGTGCCTAAAACCAACCAAGTACTTTTGGTACCTAAACCCAACCAAACTGCTACCGCTTCACATTGTTAACAAAGCCTCTGGTGCTTAACTTGCCATTTGGGTCACAGAATCTGATAGGTCACACATTTTGGTGTCACACCGGCAACAATCTTTCATGCTGGCTCCAACGACAGCGATACTCCAATACACAGCGGCTGAACTCCTGCAGCTACGCTTCCACCTGTCTGACCCACCGTTGGCGCTGCATCGCTGTCTGGATTATGCTCGTCAAAACCCGTTGGAAGTACATCCACCGTGGATCCCGACGGAGTTTCTACATCGACAACTCCAAAGCAATAAAATCTGGTCCCAAGAACTTCACACGAAAAGTTGACCACATTGTCAGCCTAGCCAAGTCGGCTAACGCCAACATCCAACATGGCCTCAACAACGTCAGCTTCGGACTGCTCAACACCCGCTCTCTAACGGACAAGGGTCCTCTCCTCCAGGATCTTCTGAGTGATCGTAAGTTTGATTTTCTGTGTTTAACTGAAACATGGCAATAACCATAATTTACCGCAAGAAGTGGAAAATCTCACCCGTTTCTGTACCCTCTCACAGTTCATTTGAATCTATTGCCCTACAACTGAACGGCCCTATTCCTACTATAGTGGCAACTTTGTATTGTCCAAGCCCAATACTGACTTTATAAATGAATTTGCTGCTTTTCTCACATTTATCTGCTCACTCTCCCCTAACGTAATGCTGCTGGGGGATTTTAATATACATATGGACAATACCTCTAATGCAAACACAAGGGAATTTACATCTTGCCTGGACAGTTTTGGATTGGAGCAACATATTCACTTTACCACTCACTCCAAAGGTCATGTTTTGGACTTGGTTTGCTGCTTAGGTGTCACTCCTCATGGTTGCACTGTGGCCAACCTCCCCATTTCTGATCACATGTTAATTTCTTTTAATGTCAACCTAACACTGTCCAAAATAAAACTGCCACGTGTCATTTCATTCAGAAATATTAAGGACATTAATTTAATACTCTCTCTACTGAATGTGACTGCCTCCCCAGTATAAACTGTTTTTCCAACCCTAATGATCTGGTGTTTCATTACAACGATGGCCTACAAAACATTTAAAATTCTCTGGCTCCTTTAAAAACCCGAACTGTTTACTTCACCCATTCTGCCCCATGGTTACATCAGAATTACGCCAGCTCAAGGTAAGAGGTCATCACCTGGAACGCCTTTACAAGAAAACTGGACTCGTGCACCAAGAAATGTACAAAAACCACATTCTCCACTACAAGGATGCTCTTTCTACAGCCTATTATGCAGATATAATCGGTTCAGGCGAAGGTAATACCAGAACCCTGTTCTCCATGGTCAATAACATACTACGACCACTGGACTGTCTCGCGCCTCATCTGTACTCATCTGCTTACTGTAACTCCTTAATATCATTTTTTAATTCCAAAGTACACAAGATTCACCAGCAACTGACTACTAATACCTCTCACAGTCTGTCTTTTTCAGTTCTCCCGACACCTCTTTCTTATTAATTTTCAAGTTTCTTGCTTCCCTCTGTTGCTGAAATATTGGACATTATTAGAAATTCGAAACCAACTACTTGTCAGCTTGACCCTCTTCCTACCGTCTTAGTAAAAGCCTGCTTACCCTCTCTCTCTTCCCAAATAACTACCATTATACATTCCTCTCTCACCTCTGGTATTGTTCCCACGTCTCTAAAATAAGCTGCAATAACTTCTATTCTTAAGAAACCTGGTGCAGACCCCAACAATTTCAACAACTTCTGTCCCATCTCTAACCTACCTTTTCTTTCTAAAATCTAAAACATTTGCATCTCAGGTCCATGCACACATGTCTGACAATAACCTCTATGAACAATTCCAATCTGGTTTCCATCCCTGCCATAGCACAGAAACAGCGATCGTAAAATCACCAATGATCTTCTCATGGCAGCTGATTCCGGACTACTAACTGTTCTTATCCTCCTTGATCTGAGTGCAGCCTTTTACACAATCTCTCATAACATCCTCCTCGACAGATTAGTCTCTATTGGTTTCACTGATACACCCTTGAACTGGTTTAAATTATATCTCTCTGGCCGCACACAGTTCATCCAGCTCAAACATTTCAAATCAGAGCTATCCCCTGACCGGTGTTCCCCAGGGCTCTGTCCTGGGGCCCCTTCTGTTCATAATCTATCTGCTTCCTCTTGGCCATATCTTTCGTAAATTTAACATCCATTTCCACTGCTATGCGGAAGACACCCAGCTCTACCTGTCCACCAAACCTACCGCATCTCTCCCTCCCACCTCCCTCTCTGATTGCCTAACGGAAATCAAATCCTGGTTCTTTTGCAACTTCCTCAAACTTAACAGTGACAAAACCGAGGTTCTCCTCATTATGAAGTTAATTACTATTTTTTACAACAAGGCTAAAATGGGAATACCCCTACGACACTAATTGGGAACGACTTAAAGTTTGAATCAGAAAAATTCTTAAGAAAATATGGAACATTAATTGCCAAAGGAGCAGAAGAAGAGGAAGTCAAAAGTAAAATTTCTTCGTTTTATCAGAGACTCTCAATGAAGTTTCAGAGGATAAGCAATTCTATTATATTAGAACCCCAAAACAAATTAGACAAGTTATATCGACAAAAAGAAGACTACTACTTTGTAAGGTCTAGGAGAGATGGCTGAAGGAGGGGGAGCCTGCCTACTTTTTCTGTCTTGAAAATACAGATAGAAAATCACTTCCATCCATAATTTAAATATTAATGGGGTCGTTACTAATGACGCTAAATTAATTTCAGATTTTTGTTCAAAATTTAATAGTAATTTATATAGCTTTATATAATATATTTATATTATATTTATTCATTTAGCTTTAGCTGACACTTTGCTTTACATGTCAGAGGTTGCACACCTCTGTATGGAGGACTGATCCTGAAAAATTGAGAAATAAATACAGAAATAAATAAATGCTTAATAAATAAATAAGCATCTGATTAAATGCACAAAAAAATAAAGTAAATAAATAAATGTAAGCAGTAATTAAATTATACAAGGAGACAAATGTATATATCTATTTTAATTAAAGAAAGTAATTAATAAATACAATTGAAGATTATAACGGACAATAAATAATTAAGGTAATTATTAAAAAGGTTAATAAATAAAGAATCTAATTAAAATAGATATATACATTTATGTCTCCTTGTATAATTTAATTACTGCTTACAATTATTTATTTACTTAATTTTTTTGTGCATTTAATCAGATGCTTATTTATTTATTGAGCATTTATTTATTTCTGTGTTTATTTCTGAATTTGTCAGAATCAGTCCTCCATAGGGCTTTATATCATCTTGTCTGTGTTTTATATGTTTGTATAGACCTACTTTTATGTATCTCTTTAAGTCGCATCTGAATTGTAACCCCCTTTTTGCAAGAAAGATGATTTAAAAAACAGTTTAGGCAAGAGGAGTGAGATTGGTTGGGTTTGGGTAAGGATATCAAGGTAAGCCAATCAGAGGCAGAGTAGGGCGGGTTATGCCTTCGTCATGCTAGGAAGAAAACTATCGAGTCCGGTTGTTCCAAGCGTTGTTTAGTGCTAATGAAAGGACGTGAAGTTGTGAGGATGGATATCCATCGTTAGAACATGACTTTAACTATGCTGTTTCCGATAATACAAGTAACGTTAGTTGGCTGTTTTAGTTAGCTTGTCTTTTGACACGGACTTTTTTTATCGTACCAGTAAAGACCGGTGCACTACAGCAGATAGTTCAGAGCTACTAATATTAGTTTCTTTATGCTTGAAGGGATGGAATCACAATGCGAGTATTTTATGTATTTTCCTACTGCTCCATTATCGAGTCTGTCAGATCCGGCGGAGTACACTACTCTTCCGCGGCGAAACCACGTTTACTTCGGGGAGACCGTCCAGTTCCTGCTGGTCCTGCGCCGGAACGCGGCGGGCAGGGATGACGGCTCCGGTGTTTCGCCTTGGAGGGACCTGGTGGGTTCTCTGTCTGCTCTGGCGAGTGTGTGCGTCGCCGAGAGTCAGCAGCTGAGACCCAGTGTCGGTGAATACCAGCCAGACCTCCAGAGCAGCTTCAGCGAGGACGGCGGAGAAGAGGAGCCAGGAGTGGAGTCTGAAACCGCAGAGAACCGGGGAACAACACCGGACAGTAACCGGGTTTTCAGACCGTGCAGCCCACTTCTTATGCACAGCTCGGCCAGTGAGGGACGACAGTATGGGAGGGAACCGGAGAAGGTAAGAAGGAGAAAGTACGAGTAATTGAGTAACTTAAAAATATTTTGTAAGGGGTTTCTGGTGGCCGCGTTTCCCCACATGTCCCTTTGCTCTTCACTGTATCCAAAACGGTCTGTATTAAATGTAAAACAAGTACTTTTAAATGTATTGAATGACTTTTAAGATCACATGTCTCTAACCTTTAAACTCTGTCATCACCACTCATAACTGGCCTACCTGCCGGAAATAGGAAGTAACCTTCACATTAATGAGCTGACAAGAAACCACTTCCTTTCTACACTCACTGTGTCTTTATTCTTCTGCTTTAGTTTTGTTTGAGTGTTTGAGTCAGCCATGAGTGCGTTCACAGAAAGGGCCGGTGTTGTCAGCAGATGACCAACAACAAACGTGGACAGTCTGGCTGCAGAGGGCCATCTTTTACAAACCAACAGCAAACTATAATCATGTTTTAGCAGTAATGTAGGCGTGACAACAAGCCTGTCACCTAAATATGTATTGAAGCAAAATACTTTTCTAAGCCTAAATCCAAGGCACAGAGTCTAGTTTATTAATTGGTAGGATTAGATCAAGAGTAACTTCAATAGTTATAATTAGTGAACAAACATCATCAAACAAATGACATGTAAGCACACAAACGCAGCATCGAAAACACAACAGAGTAAAAAACTAGCGAGTTATTTGAAATAGTTTTTACAAAAATACAGTGACTGAGATAAGAGTTGGGAAGCACAGGAGCGACTGTTTATCTCCAGGGTCGAAGTCAGTGCTAACTTCCTTCACTCTTTATTCAACAGTTGGCAGCAACACCCAGGGGAGCTCCTCTTTAGTCCTGAGAAGCTGCAGTCTTTATCCACCGGCCATTGTAACTTCTACTGTACGTTTACTGCTGAACATGCCTTATTGTTGACCCGTTTCTCTCTAATCACCGGGACACCCGTTCACACACACGCTTCTTCTATTAATCCTCTACGACACACACACACAGACCGCTGCGGCAAAGCTAACGAAGCTAGCCAGCTGGGATCATCACAAACATGAAAACAGACAGACATACTGAACCTGTCATGTATGTGGAACAGCAAAGCTAACGTTAGCCTACTCACCTGTCCAGCAGAAACGGAGCAACCTCAGCATCGGTTTTCATTGCTTTCAAATCTCATAGATTTATCCAGCATTGAAACCCCTCACAGATGTTAACACAGGTCTTCCCCTCGCCTTGTCATATAACTTGTTTCACAATTCCTCAGACCTTTCCCTCTGTGGCTGTTTCTCAGTCATCTTCACAGCTAAAGTCCCGTAATGAGTACAGCACAGGGCTCCAGACTAATTTTTTTTGACCTCCGTCCGGGAACTGTCCTGAAAAACAATTTGTTAACGTATAGCGTCCCAAAAACAAAATGTTGTTTCTTTACTTTATTATCCTCTATAGTTGTTAGTGACATAATAAATTATTATAAATTGATTCAATAAATAATATTCCTTTTGCTTAATTCAAACAAAAAGATTTATAAACAAAACTGAAAAGTTATCTGTTGGGGCACCTTTTTACCTCGATGATAAATTATTTAATTTCAGTTCAGTCATAAACTCTTTGTTTCAGCAGCTTTTCTGCTCATGTTCAAAACTTTCTGCACATTCAGAATCTCACATATCTGTGTTCTCTGACATGTCCAGAAGAAAATCGTTATATTATGAGACTAACATCATTATTTAATCAGAATTCATAATCTTTTTTAAAATTCTACCAGACCTATACTCTGCTGTGCTCCCCTTCAGACTGTACTGAATGAGACCCAGTGCGCTGCACATCATCAGAGGTAGAAACTGAAACCATCACTGCCAATCAGGCAGACATCTCTGCGCAAATCCTCATGTTAACTTCTGCAGCTCCGATAAAGTGCAGCTCACAGTCCCAAACAGGGCCGGATTGTGCTTCAGGTTTTAGATGTTTATAATGCAAAACTCTACCAGCGAGTCTGCTGGCAGCGTCTCAGCGTGCGCGGGTTACTTTACGATCACAACGTATGCTGAGTTTCATCAACTGGGTGGAGATGATTGTCGCCGCTAGTCGACGTTATTGGAAGATTGATGTGTGGCGCTTAACGCTAGCCTACACAGCGCGATTGAGAGGTCAGCAAGCCGTTTGTGATTGAGAGGACCGATAGATCTGGAGCCTACCGCGGGAACAGGTGAACAGCCGGCCTCCTGTGTGAGTCTGGCGTGACTGTAATAACAGTGTTAGTAGATGGCCTCCGTTGTAGTCAGCGCTCGGTCGTTTCAGTTTGTCATTTGCTAAGCGTAATAAATAAACACAGGTCTACACAGTCCCTTTCTATGGAGGACTGATCCTGACAAATTCAGAAATAAATACAGAAATAAATAAATGCTCAACAAATAAGCATCTGATTAAATGCACACAAAAAATAAAGTAAATAAATAAATGTAAGCAGTAATTAAATTATACAGGAGACATAAATGTATATATCTATTTTTATTAGATTCAAGCTTATTCCTCACACAGTCAGATGGCTTCTTTCAGTGTGCTTAGAAAGGTGTTTAGAAACTCTTATGTGAAGACAATACTACCAGCCATGTCTTCCTTCTTTTTCATGTGGTCAAATTCAGAAATAAATACAGAAATAAATAAATGCTCATAGGTAAATTTCCCCATTTCTTGCCAAAACCGGGTCGCAGAGTGCTGTTGCTGGTAAGCAGAGTAGAAGTCATAGGTAGAAGAACAAAAAGACAAAATAACAACAAGCCAACAATGTGCTCAGCTCATGAAATGTGTCTGAGACGCTTCTAGTGTAATCGATAATCGTGATTATCACTTTGGCCGTAATCGTGCAGCCCCATCCCCAGGTCAATCCATGTTGATGAAATAGTCAATGACAAGCTCAGTACTTCCAGGACAGTTGTCATTCACTTTTTGAAAGCTGCAACGGTTGAACAAATACCAGCAAAGGTATATTCGTCACTGTGTGTTAGAGCATGGGAGAACAGTGGATACTTTTAATACAGCCCACACCCCTAATACTGTGTAACTATAACAAGTGGAGATCATTCAAGATTTTTTACAACTGTCTGCATAGTGTAGCATGTCCTAACTACATATGAATTTGAATAAATATATGAGAATTAATACCCAATTATGAATTTTAATATTCAGAAAATATCAATCCATAAAAAGCTCTTGTTTCGCAAAGGGGCACCACCGGAATTATTAACCTAGAGTCTCCGGACTTCTAGGTAGCTTTTAATAATTATGCAATTATTCACCAGTGATCAGTTAGTTAATAATCGCTCAATTATCTTAAATCAATCAGTCAGTCTCATATCTAAAGGGTCAATTCTCTTGGCAGGGACTTAGAAATAGGCAACACACAGAATTCCTTGGTTACAGTGAATTTATTAACTAACTAAGGTGATATAAAAAGGTGGTTAAATACATCAGGGAAATAAACAATGGCTAAACAATGAGAATGGAGGTTCGATTGTGGGAAGCATTTGACTCATACGGCAGAGGAAAACTAATGAAAGTAAGCTATGAGTTTAGGAGTTAAAAAGACAATATTAACACTATGGGACATCCCTGACCACAGAATGCTTGGTTTTGGTCTTACTGCTTGTCGACAGCCTGCTTTGGCCTGTTGCACGGGTCCTGCATGCTAGCTGCCCGATCCTGGCTTTTTGCTAGGGATCCTCCGTGTCTGATTGAAGAAAAACCCTCAGGGGTTGACCGTCCTCCGTATGGCAATTTGGCTGTTTTTCAGGTGTCCTTCGTTGCCGCTGGTGAGACCACGTGAATGGGTCTGACCTCGGTGAAGTTAGCTCGACGAAAAAGCTTAAAAGGGAACTTGGTCGTTCCTGAATTAGACCAGTGTAACTTAACGGACTGATAACTTTTAACAAAACAAAAGAAAGAAAATAAAACAAGTAAAGTTGCTGGAACTGAGGGACAAATCGATGTCGCGGCACTTCGCGTGTGTAGCTTCAAGCGAAACAAAGACTTCGTTGCGCTGGTCGAATTCTTAGGGCGTTGCCGGGAGAGCACGCCGGGCGCCTGCTGAAGCGCCGTTTTGAGGGAAGCGTCCAGAGAGCAGAGCGAAGAGGAAGAGAGTGAACAACGTCGTGTGTCGCTCTTTTGTTGTCTGGGGCGTGGTTCTCCAGAGGGCAGTCCATCGGTTTCCGCAGGGCGGGCCGTTTCCGTTTTCCTGAGGGACTGTCTTTCTAAAATTTTAATATGTCTATAAAAAGGAAAAGAAAATCTATTTGCGGGTATTCTAATCAAATATTTTCCACAATCAAACCTCAATGGTCAAACGGTTGTACCGTTCTAAGTTTAATCATTTGGTAACAGGAAATTGTCTGTAATTAGAGCTTAAAAGGTTAGCATTTTAGAATGATGGCATGTAATACTTATTTCGTCCATTTGGGGGAGCTCAGGTTACATGACAACAGCTTAGATTAATCCCAAAACAATCTTCTCAGGAGCTGGAAAATGTAGTTATTTAGCCTTAAATTCTGGCAATTAATAGAGTATAGTATGACATTTCTTTATCATCATTTCTAAAGGAATTGTGTGAGAAAGTATTGTGAACAAGCATTGGTTTCACATAAAATGAAGGAGTGCAAAAGTAACTTATATAGATTCTTTTCAGCAATAATATCAACAACAGATAGCAACAACATGGTAACATAACTACTCAAATAGAGGCAAATGTAATCAAGTAACTAAAAGATTATTTAATTAAACAGGTAATGTTTTGAGTCTTTGGAGACTGCAGTCTTTGTTTACATAAAGTTCAGGGCCTACCTTGGTGCCCTTGATTTTGTCACACCTGGGTGTGAGGTGGAGTATCCCTTTGATGAGAGGTAATTAAACACAGAGCAAGGTCAGCTGCCATGGTTACATGTGTGGGGCAGTTTAGGGTTTCCTGCCCCTTTCTTTAAGAAGAGCTCTGATAGGCTGTTTGTAATCTCTGGTTAGTTTCTTTGTC